CTTCAGATTACTCATCAGCTACTGATTCATCTGACTACTCATCTGCTACTGGTTCGTCTGACTACTCCTCAGCTTCTTCTTCAGGATTAGACTACTCATCAGCTACTAGCTCATTTGACTACTCATCTGCTACTGGTTCGTCTGACTACTCATCAGCTACTGATCCTTCAGATTACTCATCTGCTACTGGTTTGTCTGACTACTCATCAGCTACTGATTCTTCAGATTCCTCATCAGCTACTGGCTCATTTGACTACTCATCCGCTACTGGCTCATCTGACTACTCATCTGCTACTGGTTCGTCTGACTACTCCTCAGCTACTGATTCTTCAGATTACTCATCAGCTACTGGCTCATTTGACTACTCATCTGCTACTGGTTCGTCTGACTACTCATCAGCTACTGATCCTTCAGATTACTCATCTGCTACTGGTTTGTCTGACTACTCATCAGCTACTGATTCTTCAGATTCCTCATCAGCTACTGGCTCATTTGACTACTCATCCGCTACTGGCTCATCTGACTACTCATCTGCTACTAGTTCTTCAGACTACTCCTCAGCAACTACTGATTCATCTGACTACTCATCTGCTACTGGTTCGTCTGACTACTCATCAGCTACCAGCTCATCTGACTACTCATCCGCTACTGGCTCATCTGATTACTCATCAGCTACTGATTCTTCAGATTACTCATCAGCTACTGATTCTTCAGACTACTCCTCAGCTACTACTGATTCTTCAGACTACTCCTCAGCTACTACTGATTCATCTGACTACTCGTCAGCTACTGATTCTTCAGACTACTCATCCGCTACTGGCTCATCTGACTACTCATCTACTGGTTCGTCTGACTACTCCTCAGCTACTTCTTCAGGATTAGACTACTCCTCAGCTACTAGCTCATCTGACTACTCATCTGCTACTAGTTCTTCAGACTACTCCTCAGCAACTACTGATTCATCTGACTACTCATCAGCTACTAGCTCATCTGACTACTCATCTGCTACTGGTTCGTCTGACCACTCATCCGCTACTGGCTCATCTGACTACTCATCTGCTACTGGTTTATCTGAGCACTCTTCACCAACTGCTACTGGACCATCTAGCTATTTGTCAACTGCTGCCTACACCGGTGCTAGTGGTATCTCTTCTACAGTGACTAATGATGTTTCAAGCTCATCTTCCTACTTACCTAGCCTGATTATTAGTAGCTTACCAACTGCTGTAGGATGCTCTTATAATGGAGGTGTCGGTATTGGATTCGAAGCTTATTATTATAATTACACTGTTCCAGTTGAAATAACAACGTACATTGAGGGTGGATACAAAGCTAATAAAGTATTGAAGACGGTCGATGGAGTTGTTGATTGTGAATCAACAGTAAGCGATATAGTCACTTTAGATTTGGAAGGTTACTTTTTAGCTCCTGAGTCTGGAAGCTACACCTTTGAATTGAGCAATATCGCAAATGCAGCCGCATTCTTCATTGGAGCTGCAGATTCTTCTTCTTGTGGAGGTACCTCAGGTTCATTGCAAAAAAGGGCCTCTACAAATTCGTTAATCATTGAAGGGCCCTTAGGCAGTAATAAAATTACAGTTGAGCTTGTCGAAGGGGTTTATTATCCTATAAGTATTGTCAACAACTACCTTGGAGAAGATGAATATATAGTATTCACTATGACTGGCCCTCATGGGCAAAATCTTACAATTAGAGAGACGATTGTATATTTCACTCATGGAACAAGCACTGAAAACTCATCATCGATTTCAGACTCTCAAACGCTTTCAACTATTGCTAGTCTTTCAAGCAATATCTTGGCTTCATCTACATTGGCTACAATAAGTAGTGGCACAATTAGCAACAGCGTTTCATATTCTTCTGGCACGTCCAGTAGCTCAGCTGTTGTCCCCACTACATTCAATTTCGTTAGTGGGTGGAATTCATCGTCCACCTTACAACCATCAACCGAGACTTCTACTTCTTTACAAAGTGATACAACTTCGACACTGAAATTTCCCTCATCTATCGAAATCACCCATGATATCTCCACTAATACTGACAGTCTCAACACTAAATCGACTAGCACCTTTCCAACTAGCTTTATAACCCCATCAATAAGTACACCAAGAGTTGATTATCTGGCCCCATCATCAAGTTGGGTCACTAGAATGACATCATTTCCAACTAAAAGTAATGCTATATACCCTACTGAATCAGCAAAGAAAGAGACAGAAGGAATCAGTACAAGAAGTCAAGAAGACAGCTACACAACGAATAGTGCAGAATCTTCTACCACTGTGGTCAGTGTATCGACATCTTCATTGTCAAATACTTACAGTAAACCATTGGACGGTAATACCCCAGTGGTTTCTGCAACTACAGTCTCTACGCTTACAAAAGAGGTAGATACAAATTCGTCCATGCAAGCAAGTAGTGGAAATGGTAATAACCTCGACTCTCATTCTACTACTATGGAAACTGTAACTTCATACCCATCAAGCATATCAATGGCGACAGCTTCAACTGAGCCAGAAGCTAGTGCCAGCTCAATTATACCAAGTGCCAACGTATCTCAAATATATTCAGGCTCCGCTAAGAGAAACATGGCTACGTCATTAATTTTCATACTTCCATTCTTTTTCGTGTGATCCTATACAAGAAAGGACGCAAGAAGGTATATTTGTTCGGCTCATTTTCTTTTTCTTTCGTTGTATAACTTATAATTTTTTCTCTTTTCATATTATAGAAACATTTGCATTTTTTCCACCTTTAATACTTTTTATGAACTTAATAGACCATACGAAATACATAAATTTCCACTTTAAACCTTATTAGTTGACTAAGATTGCTTTATTTTATTTGTGAATGTAAAAAGGGATACTGGAATACATATCCATAGAAAGAGAGTTTGTAATGAGATTAGATACCAGCATACAACTTAAGAGATAAATATGAGGGCTCCATCAGAAGAATTTAATGAGCCAGAAATTCTCTCTTATACAGCTCTCTCCAAGCTGATTTTTATCTTTTGATATTGCTAAATCAGGAATTTTGCCTTTTAAATATTTTCTTCCTACAGCTTTGGTTTTCAGTTAGATCCAATATTATATTATCGACTTAAATCGTTCTGAAATATCTTTCTGACATACATACAATACTAGACATCCAGCCATTTAATAATGAGTTTCATGTGTTTGATGCGATTCTGAAAACTGTCTCGAAAGTAATTATCTGAAGATTTGCTAATGAGCCAAGTTTTGAGTTTATATAATTTTGTCCTTTCCCTTCCACACAGTAAGGAAAGCAGTTTATCACTAGATATTGAATGGGTAATAATGAAAAATTAGGAATGTATCTTCTCAAGAAGCAGAATATTATCATTGGTAATTTAAAATCAAGCTGAGATGATCGCTACTAAGCAGCCCGATATACTCATTCTTTACGTTTAAGTAGTGTTTCTATTGATTCCAACAATGATGAGCTGCTATTACTGGGACCCAACTCTTTGCCTTGGAAAATATCCAAACTTGAAATAATAATATCCCCAAAACCTAGGAATGAATCAGGGTATATAAAATCGCTTAATATTGTTGACACTTGGCATTCAGAATTCGCTTTAATCCCATTAAATCTATCTTTGATAAAATTAAGAGCTAGCCCACTTCCAGACACAGCTGTAATTATGTGCTCCGAAAGTGAATCTTTTCGGTACTCAACACTTACTCCATTCTTGCAATACAAATCGTAAAGTATATCTGTTCCATTTATTGGAATAATTTCATCATTCACACTTGAGTATATCAATATTGGACATGCGGGAAACATTCCATTCTTCAGTAAATTATTTTCATCGGTTATATTGACAACAAGTGGAATCGTATATACCCCCTCACCTTCAGAAGAATATTCTTCAAATGTACTGTAAGCATATTCATAAAGAATCTGTGCTAGACAAATATTCTCCACGTATGTGTATTCTTCATATTTATCTGGGTATACCAATTCCTTGACAAGTTCCTTCAATTCAGGATATTCATGAGTGAGTCCTACAATTGCAGATATTCCGAAACCTGCAAATACAGTACCCATCAAATGCTTTGCCGAGCTAATAAGATCCACAGGAACTCCTCCCATAGCAGTACCAACAAGGTTTAATTCTGGAGCGTATGTGGGCTGTAGCGAAGCTGCCCATCCAGAAGCAAAACCACCACCAGAATAGCCCCAAAGGACAATCTCTGCTTCTGAATAGTTGGATTGTACTGCTCCAGAGTTGAAGACGCCTCTAATTGAATTTAAAACAGCATAACCTGCCAGATAACCTGCAACAAAAGTTGCTTTTGGCCCTTCATGGTCAGGAACGATGACATTGTAGCCTTCTTCAAGAGCAGCAGAGAACAACAATAACTCCAACTGGGGTGTTACCCATGATAGAGGACTGGAATCGAGTTGCATTGCATAGGAGGGGGCACAATTTTCAGAAGCAGTATCTTCAGCAATTTGATAGGATACCAACTTCGTGGGATCAGAATCTTGTGGAATAAAAAGGGTACTAACAATAGCGATAGGTTGGTGAAAAGTATCTTCTGAACGGACAAGAATCTGATAAACTGCCTGAACATTTACTTCAAAAACGAATATTCCGAAAGGATTGTCAATCTTCTTGAGCCTCAAAACAGTTCCTACTTCCGCATCTTCAAATCCAGTTGGTGGAGAATAAAATGGATCTTCCGATGGTAGCTGAAGGGTTGCACGAGGATTAATTACAGGGGCAGAATTAACAATGTTAATACTTAAGTAGAGAAAGCTTACCAACTTGGTCCACATTGCTTAGTGCAGATCGTACTTGAGACTACAACAAATCTAAGGCATTTCGTACTACTTAAAGGAAAGATTTTACGACATCAAATACTTTTGCATATGACTGTTAAAGATTCCAAGCATTTACGTGACTTTTCAAGATGCATAACCGAACCCCGTCTTTCTTTCTAATGCTTTCCAATGCTTTTGCATTTCGATTCAATCTGGATTTAGATGACAGTATAAATTTATTATTGAGAATTTTGGGTGCAAATTAACCTTAAAGAGGAAAAATTTCCTGATTTGGAATATTGAACAGAAATCTTAAGTTTTCCAAGATTTCGAAGCAGTAAAGAATGTGAATGTATGCAGGCTCTAACGTACCTTCTGGAGATTAGTTGGAGTACCAAAAATGCTGTTTGCTTAAAAATTACACGTACATTCCCTCTTCAATAGGCTCCTGTGATTTTCAAAACCATCACTATGCTTACGCGTCCCCGCGGCGTTGAAGAGGGTAGCTTAGATGAAGAAATTAATGAGCGAATAAAAATCATATTTGTTTCTGTAATTTTTGAAAGAAATATACCAATTATATAAATATCAATAAATATCAATAAATATCAAGCCCTCTTTTTTGGCCACTTAAAGCAGTTTACAAGGACTGTTCCTGGGGGAACTCTAACCTTTAACTCGTGAACTTCTTCTGTCATCTGTTCTATTATCTTATCTCTCGAAATGATATACCCTCTTAAAACAAGTATAGTTGTTGCAGCTGCGAAAAAAGAAACTCCGGAGAAAATCGCAGTATTCCTATATTCACCTTTCCCGCTACCTGTAGTCATGGCAGTACCAATTAATTGAGAGAACAAGGCAGATGCACCGCAGAACATCCACAGCATACAAAAAGCCACGTTCAATTTGGAAATACTGACCAATCTTACGGTAATGGAAGCAGCAGTAGAGAAAACTGTCCCCACAAACAACCCAAGAACTAAACCTAGAGCAACTGCTGTTGCATAGTTTTTAGCAGGAACCCACATTGTTAAAGTGAATAAAGCACTCAAATAGTAAGCAGCTGAAGTGACAGCTAAGGGACCTAAGTAATCAGACAAATATCCTGCTGTAGGCCTTCCTATCACCATTCCGACTTGAAGCATTGTAGCTACAACAGAGCCCTGAGATTCTGAATATCCGAGAGAAATTGTAAAATCACTCAAACAAAACATCACAACCACGTAACCAAACATGCAAACAATCAAATAGAAACAGATCATCCAGAAACCTGCGCATTGGATACAATCTTTATCTACAATTGTGAACTCAACCTTATGATGTTTTGACTTTGTTTTGATAAGTGCAGCAGCAAATAATACCAATACTAAACTTATGATACCCTGAGTTCTAAGCGCCCAATTTACGTTTTTAACTTCTATTATTCTCTGCAAACTTAAATTAAAGACAATTCCTCCTACACCACTTCCAGTAACTGTGAGCAGATTAGCAAGTACTCTCTTTTTTTGGAACCATTGGGATGTCAAAGTCAAGGCTGGAAGACTTATGAAAGCAAGTCCGAAGGATTGTAATAAACCTTGGGTCAATATAAGCTCCCAAATATTAACGGCATAACTAGCCATAAAAGCTGCAGCAAACTGCATTAAACCTCCTAAAACAATGGTTGGCCTCGTTCCTAACAACCCTTGAATGTAATTAATGACAGGAGCAAAGAACAAACCAATTCCAAATGACATACCCCCTATAGCAGAGTATTGCAATACTGTAGCTCCTGGAAAGTGATTAGAATTTAAATAATAAGCATAGTATATCCCATAGGCAGAGTTCAAACCCCACGTTGAAAAGACTAGAAGAAAGGTAGCAAAACAGATAATCCACCCGTATCCACCATCAACATCATTAATATATTTATGAGGATGCTTAATCTCTTCCTTTTTTGTTTCTGTAAATGCTTTGCCCTCGAGGTCCTCCGTAGAGTTTGCTAAAGTACTTGGATCACTCATTATGTGTTAAGTTTAATAAATATTTTTGGTTTCAACTGTAAAATTTGTTACGAGAAAAGGGGAACCAAGCCTCTATATATACTACACTAAGAATTATACAAAGATGATAGTCAGCCTACACAATTGGAAAAGCGACACGGTTTTCATTGAGCTTTGCGGGTTGTTTCAACTAAGAAGTTGCAATTACGTCCGTCTTTCTCTTGAGCCGCAGAGTCCGAGTCGGTTAAAAATGGCATCGCTAGCATATTTTTGCACCCAGCGGCTTCCGAATCGGCATCCGCACACGACCATATTGTAACTATAGCAAGCATTCACCGATTTATAATCAAGACAGGAAAGCTGTGTGATACAGTTTAATTGTGTGCCTCTGAATACAATCTAGCACAAAGCATATATCCTTAATCTAGAATATTTTAGTTTGTAAGTCGACGTAAAATTAACAACTTTTATTCACTCTCCATACTTCAAAAAAAGGTGTTGCAAAATGTTGCGTGGTGATTATGCACTAAATGCTGCAACCGCTCACATGCAGCAGTTTGTTAGTCAGATAAAATAATCATGATTAGGCACATAACACAAATCGTACCTGTGTGATTCACAGGTCACTTTGCCTCATAAAATATTAACCCTTATCCAGATCGGAGACGCTGTACTCTGTGCTATCCGACTTTACGGAAACATTTTCAATTCTTACCGGAACCAAAAAATGCAAACATGCAGATTTTTCGATTGAATTTAGTACCATACCAAACTCAAGGAAGTCTAGGCTCTCTCAATGAAATGGAACAATTGGATTTTACAATTGAAGTAGTTTTTAGCTAGAATCAATGAATAAGAAAGAATAAGAGCGGACGTACAATGTTCAAGATATTGATATTTGAAGCAAAGCAAAACTAAGTACATGCTTTAATGGTATATACAGTATTAGAGATGTAGGTAAACTGTACTTCCTCCCTTGAACGCTTTATTTATGGAACAAAGTAGGTGAATGTGATCAAATATTGCATTAAGTATGCTGTTAACGAAGTGGATTTCATAAAAGTTATATATTGGCTATATACAAACATTTATGACATCTGCTTTAACTCCCCACTCGCATGCACTCTACTCAGAATTCGCAGTATGCCATATTCTTACTTCGTTAGTTTTAAAGTTTAAATGTAATTATAAGAGCATCCCTCCCTATTCAAGCATTAGTTGCTAGTCTTCTCTTATTTCAGTGTGCCACATCAAGAGCCCCCAAAAATGGAAAAGGTAGTTTTTATCAGCGGAGCTTCCTCCGGTATTGGTTATGCAGTTTGCCAAGAATTTGCCAAGAGCAACTACAAGATATATGCTGGATCCCGCAATATCGAAAGTCTCACACATCTTTCAGAGCAATTTCCTAATGTATATCCAGTAGAATTAGATGTTACTTCTACGGATAGCATCTTACGTGCAAAGAAGGTAGTAGAACTCGATAATGATAAATTGGACATATTATTCAACAATGCAGGCACACCTTGCGTAGTCCCAGCGTTAGAAGTTGACGAGAAAACCCTTAGACTGGCATTCGAAGTGAATGTCTTTGGTGCCATTAACTTAGTGAGAGAGTTTTCTCACTTGGTGATAAAAGCAAAGGGTGTATTTGCTTTCACAACACTGAGTGGTACTTTAATGCCATATCCCTTCAGTAGCATCAATAACGCAAGTAAATCTGCACTCAGCTCGTATGCAAGTACCTTGGCACTTGAAGTAAAGCCGTTCGATGTCAAAGTTGTGAATTTTATTACCGGAGGAGTAAAGACTGAGAATCTTGAAAAATCCAGAAGACAACTGCAGAATCTAAAAAAGGGCTTATACGTTGTGGATGGGAAAGATATTGTAAGCGAATCAATGAACAGTATTGATAACTCTTCTTTCATGACTGCAGAGACCTACGCTAGAGAAGCAGTGAAAGACATAAATCATGCCTTACACGGACTGGACTACAAGCACGAAGGAAATTACTTTCCACGGTACAGGGGACATATGGCTAGGTTTACTAAGGCTGCAAATTTTTATTTCCATAGACAAATCATTGAAGGAATGCTATTGGCTGGTTTCAATTTGAAAGAAAGCTTTAGCAAACTCAAAAAGCAAAGGAATGAAAAACCGAATGACGTAAGCCTATCATAAATAGTACTCAGTATCAAATAGCTAGCTAATGGATATCTTGTTATCACTTGATGCGATTTCGATTGAGAATAATTTTATGTGGGGAACAATTTTCGCAAGGCGGGAATAGGCTTGGCATTAAAAGTAAATAAGCGAACGGCGGAAGACATTCGACTTGAAAAGAGCTTCACTAACTTATCTATAAGCTTATACACCTTTTTGCACAAACTACAGTTTGTGCTTGATCTAACACAGTACACAAGCCATTCACTTGAATATAATGCTAAGCGAGTTTTATTTATAGTTCGAAACTCTAGAGCACTTTAACCGCTTGGTTATTTTGGTGTGCATCTTCTGCGGGGCTGCAATCTAATCACATCACTATATTTAAGTGCGATAAGAAAACCTTAAAAATGAATTTGCTCTGACTTTTTATTTTTACCTTTGCTTGTAAGATAACTATGACCCATGAAGATACTCTATCGTCTTCTTCAATAGCTTCTTCCGATAGAGAGACTGAGGCAGTTCCTGTCTTCATCAACCCTTTTTCTCGAAGCCAACAAAATGGAAGAGAAGCAGGAGATCGCTCGCTTGCATCAACTTCGGAGTTGCCTGATTACTCGTCAAATACCAACGTTGATTCCTTGGAACCAGTTTGGAGTATACTTCCGCTGTACCACATGTACACGTCCACTGTCAGCGAGAGTGTTCTCAGGCAACCCAATGACGACAGCTATACGAAACCTCCGATGTACAATACTTCCCATGAGAATAATGCAGAGAGAAGACGACCCAGCTCGCGTCTTGAACATTTTGAAAATTTCTTGAGACAAGATAACCAAAGTCAGTATTCCGAGGTGGAATCGGAACCAAGTAATTTGATTGCAAGCGATGATAACTCCCAAGACTGGCAAAACACCATCCTTGGGAATATCCATAAATTAGACAATTTGAGTTCCACCAAAAATGAATTTGCTAACGCTATCAAATTTAGTGTGCATTTTACAGAGATGGTTGGCGAGCCTGGGGTGAAACAGAAAGAACTTGATATACTGAACTATGAATATAAACAAGGAGATATTATAAATGGATATATACTCATTGAAAATACTTCAGGAAAACCGATTCCATTTGACGCCTTCTACGTGGTTTTCGAAGGTACTTTTACTGTTGGTTCTGTCATAACCGGAGACGATCCCACAAAGGATAAAGAAATTACATATATAAAGAATTTTCTTGAAATGTTTGATTTGCACGCATCGTGGCATCATGGCTTTATTAATAGAATACCTACTGATGATCCTGACACTATTATTGACCCAGTAGACAATACATACCTACCCTTTGGTGATAATTCTCGCTACATTAGACACGACTATGTACATAAGAGATTTTTTACCTTTAAGATTCCTGAGAAGCTTTTAGATTCATCCTGTTCACACAATTTAAGCAGACATACTGAATTGCCTTCAACGCTAGGTTTAACTAAGGCTGAAAAGCAGTTTAATTTGAAAAATCCCAAGTTGGGCCGCAAAGTAAGGGATTTTTCTTTTATTAATTCAAATATATCCTATAGCGTTAGTGCAAGATTTATAGGTAGGGCATCTATGTATGGAGAAAAATCGAAAACTAGTGGAATGACTTCTAGAATCGTGAATACAGCAGGTGATGAATTTCTTGTACTAAAGGATACTCGTCAGAATTTGAGGATTGTTCAAGAATCCTTGCGTTATAACCACGAAGAAAGAGTTGAAAAAACCAAGCAGGAGACTATTTTGTATAATAATTTAAATTCCAGATTGGATGAACATATCGAAATTGCTGAAAGCATTTTGAGAGAGTCGACGGAATCAAAGCTAGAAGATATCTATACGAATTTTCCTCCAGTAGAAACTAGAGAAAGAGCAAATACAATCAATCCCTTAATGTCCAGCTTACCTTCCAGTATGTCAGGAATCAGAAGAAATAGCACGAACTCTACGGTGGGAAGTGGAAGTATCTCTCGCATTTCAACTAGTAACGATTTACCAACTAAGAACAATGTTGATGAACTTGCTAAGATACGGCAGCTATACAAGCCAAATCACAAGGAGAAAGGGTCAGAATCGAGTAATACTACAAGTGGAAATGACGCATATAAAGTATTCTTCCCTTGGCAAAAGCGAACTTTATCATTAACTTCTAAATTTCAAGGGGCTATTGTGGTTTCCACTCCCAAAAAACCATATTCAATACTGTACATTAGACCGGTTAGTTTCCGTCAACCGAATTCTTCTACTCCAGATAATCCTTGGAATTTGGAACTACCCATTGATTTTGAATATATTCAACTGCAAACAGATAATCTAGATAAAAGGATACAATTACCCGAAATAAAGAAAATAGGTGTAGAATTTGTCTGCTTGACGATAAAATCCGACCATGGCCCAATCCCCATAGAGATAAACGATGATATGTTGTTTAAAGATACGACTCTGTTTGATAAACCTTGTCGACTGGTGTTTGAGTACAATACAGATTATTTGGAAAGCAACGTGGTTGGGCAAATCAGAGAAAAATTTGTCAAGATTCATGTGTTAGCTAGCAAACTAGGGCCGGAGGGATTCAGAATGGATTCACAGCTTGTTGACGATGTTAAAGTTCTTTGCAACTTGGAAACAAAAAATAATACCATGACTGTGGGTGGAGTAAAGATAAAAATGACTGATTCTAAAGATAAGGAAATTACATTGAACAAAGTTGGTGAGCTTTCAAAGCTGCCCTGGTCACTCAAAGAAGGTGCGACCACTACTACATACATTAAGAAGTTCAGTTTACAAATTGACATGTCTACATCTAAATTGAAAACTCCAGACAAACAGGTTGGTAAATCATTTGACAACTTTTGCTTAGTGCCAAATTTTCAGATGTGTCAAATGGCAAGGTTTTACTATATTAGAGTGTCCATTACATTACTGAAGAACGAAGTAATACTTGTAAATATACCAATTGAGGTAGTGAAATAAATTAATTTTTTGGAAGAAATAGATGTTCTACGTAAAATAAGTAAGAATGAGTAATTTTCATAAATATTAATATATAAATAAGTATCTCAATAAAAAAAAAGTAAAATATGCAAAAATAAATATCACTTAATAAGTGAGACAGATGTGACTACCTAATTTTCAATGGAAGCAGGTAACTTAACTGAGACTGTTTTGCCATTGGAAAGTTGCAAGTCAAGCTGAATGTAGTACAAACGACCCATCGTACAATTTTGGTAACTGGGAATTAAACAATAGTTATCGTAGCTTTTGCCGAATGTTGGCTTTGAAGCAATCTCTTTAGCAGTTGCTGAGGTTAAATCCAAATGAACTGTAAAGTTCTGAGTATATTTATTTCTCAGTTCATTCTTCCAAGCTAAGTTCTTTTCCGATTTACTAAACGATTCTTTTGAAGAATATTCAATGTTTTCTATGACAAGTTCACTCTTTCTGGTTCTCAATTTACTTAAGCACAAAACATCTTCCACAAGCAGTTTATCAGGAAAGAATCCTTGGGTTTCTTTAAGGTTACGATAATGATCTATTAACTCTGAACCGTACTTCTCAAACTTAGAAGTAACTAAATTAGAAAAATTTTCTTCAGGATTGCTATTGTTAAAGACCATGTCATGATTGAGTTCAAGAGGAATATTTTGATTGTCTACTTCTGAGGAAATAGTGAATGATACCAATGAAGCTTTTGCAAGCTTCAAGGTTGGGAAATCATTAATATTTTCTGAATCTGCCGTGAAACTGAAATTAACGGGAACATCGATATTCCAGCTTTTCAATTTGGCTTCGTCAACTTCTTGGCCACCAATGTACTTATATGATGGTATATAAGAAATTTTGTATTCTTCTACCGGAATTTCAACTTTCATTTCCCCTAAAGGTTTTATTGCTTTCTTTCCAAACGAAAGACCCAGCTTTAACTTAATGTATGGAAAGATTTCTTCAAATGCATTATTCAGAGTGAAATATTCAAGTTCACTCTCGGTACTAGATTGCAAATTTTCATGAACGTGCTTTATTTTATCTTTCGGTAAGGCCAACCCTCTCAACTCTTTACAATGTTGTATGCAATCTTCCAATCTATTTATAAACTCGTGATACGCATACTTGACAAGAGATTTTTGAATGGATTTTTCCAAATGTGTACTCCTCTTAGTACGTGGCACTATTCTGATTTCGGTGGATTTTTCTTTTAATATGCTGTACTGATTTGTTTGAGGGTCTGGGGAAATGCATTTGACATGAATATCATACGATATGGAAATGTTTTGAAAAGTCAAATTTTTTGACGATTCCCCCTTCACCGGAGCCTCAATTGTACTTGGGAGGTCTAAATGACTCGTGATATGGCTGTGTTTACAGTTGGAATCAAGCAAGCTCTTTGGGATTCTGAATTGAAAACGTTTAATGTAACGCAACCCGGGCTGCATAAAATTATTTGCCTCTCTATTTTCTGAGCCGCACGATGCAAACCCAATTTCAGAACTGTTGGAGTTGTCGCACTCAGCTTCCAATACAGATGATGTTGCAGCAAGGTCAATTATTTGCAAGAAGGTGCTTGATTTTGTTATTTTGCCGTTCAATAAACTATGGGAGTTTATGTTACCCTCTAAAAATATGTAAAACATGGTAAAGGGAACATTTTCTGTGGAGGTATTTTCAGCAATCACGTTCCCGTCTATTATATCATTCAGAGAGAATTCATAGGTGGATGGGTCTATATTGCACCCATTGACTGTGAGTTCAATTGAGAGTTTTATTGGGGAATTGGATGATAGTTTGTTCAATTTATGATGTATCTCGAGGATTTTAGATGAATCTTCAAAACCAGCGTCATCATTATGACGATTTGTTAGAATTGTAGAAGACGGTATAGAGTAAAGAGCAGAAGAACTTTCAATTGATGATAGGGATGAGGTCAATGAACTAATGTCATCAAAGTCAATTTGATCATAACCAGGAAGTAGTTCATTCAGCTCAAGTGGGACTGTTAAGGTCTTCGCATATATGGCTTGGTGCATTTGATATGAGGGTAGGATACTCGGAGCATCATCCCCATATTCAGGAATATCAATATTCAACGGTTTCATTTTTAGTAGATAAAAGGAAGAAGTAGAAAAGAGAAAAGAGAAAAGAAAAAAACTTAAACACTACATCAATTAGTACATCAGAGGGGACTCAGCCGTATTTATCTTACAAGAATTAACAAAGGCTAGGCGTGCTCAATATCTCAGAAGTTTATTCCTACAGCAATGTGGGATGTAAACTCAAATAAGCTCTTCGCAAAAAAATTATTCAAATGAACCAATCATAGTGGTAAACTGGGCCATGAATAGAAGGTGACACATGTAGCTCGGCCGATGTTCCTTCCTACGAACAATAAATCTGCGTTAGTCACTGAAGAATTTTCGTACTGACCCCTCCTATGCATGAAAATACGTAACTTATTATGTAAGAGCTTAAAATTGACAGGTACATTTTTAAGCCTCAAAATAATGTTGCTAACAGTCCGCTTTCAATGTGTCAATTGATTCAATTCAAGAGCCTCTACAAGGGTCTTCTTCCAACATGAGGAGCATTGGACAGGGCCCATCTTAGCACTTCTCAGCGCTGCTCAGCTCAGCTACGTTACTTCAGTTTATCTCTCTTCAATTGATAGAGGACACAAGTTTTTAGTTTTTGGTGGCACAGTTCTACATAAAAATTTTCACGCTTCCCTTACGTACATGCGCATGCGCTGGAAGAAGAATATGCGATCAGCATGAGGGGGGCAAAAGTCTTCTGCACTTCACAAATTTATATCAGGCATTTAGTGGCCTAAATTCAGTTCTAGCCAATCATATTTCCCAAAGCTGTCCGATTTCCTTTTTAAGACGATGGCAAAAAAAGGCGGACTTGTTTTGGTTCCATATTTACTTTCGACTGCTAAACGTGAATGAGAATAATACACCACACGGTGTCCCTCTTGATAGCAAGTTACTGGTTCCACTGCGTGTACGCCTACCGTGGTAGGCTTGTATTCTAAACTTCTGAACAATGCGTTTTTTGTTGCTACACAGCTCTCAATTGTTTCTTTCTCCTAACTGTTTCTTTTCCTTTGGGGTAAGTCGCCCCACATACTTTGTGATGGTTACTAGCCCCCATCTTTATTTTTCAGTTCTCGTAAATATTTGCTCTGATATGAATGACTCACACACATACAATGCGTACATATCAAGACCACTACATTTTATCTAGACTTTCATTCTACCCACAAATAAGCTTTATTTTTAACTATGTACATGCTATAATTATCAGTTAGTAACTCCTTTTCAAAGGATTAGAGTTTCGTTGTTCGTAAAGCACGTTTACTCTTTGGTCAGATATCTTAGATCTATCTTCACTGGTAATCAGAAGTCTAACGTCTGTAAATCTATTGTAATCATCATCAAAGTAGCTTCACTTAAACAGGTGATACGTACATTTTCTTCAAAAAATAATATAGTGGTAGACAGTAAATCAAACTGTAGTCTATTAGTAACCTGTTATTGTTAGTATCAGTCAAGAAAATTATAATAATTGCAAGAAAAAAAATATTTTGTATTTTTTTCTTGTATGTTAACTTGGTCAGCTATCTTAGATCCTTTCCTCAATGTAATTAGGAAGTCTAACGTCTAAAAAATCTTTTTGAATCATCATCAAAGTAAATATTATTCCTAACACATACCAGTTATCAGTATTTTTTATTTATTTTTTACTGCTTTTCCATAGTCTCTTATACGTTTACCGTATTCTTTTTACACGCTTTTTAATTTTTCCCTTATCCGCCTGATCTTTCACCAGGATCTATGTACAATATATGTTTTAACCTTTATCCGGCTCGATCTTTCAACATGATCTATTTACAAGATATTCTTAACCTAAGGGAATACCTTTCTTAATTACCTTTGGTAAACCCTTGATCCAACTTTTTCCCGATTTCTTATTAATAATTACGAAGACCCTTCCTGATTGTCTCATTCTTCCAGTTCTTCCAACTCTGTGGACCAAGTCTACCGAAGTGTTTGGTAAATCCATCAATATGACGTTCTTAATTCCATTGAAGTTTAAGCCTCTGGCTAACAAATCCGTTGCAATAAGAACCTTAATTTTGTCTCCTGAGTTTCCAGTCGAAAGGAGTTCGGCGGGCTGAAGAAACGGTGAAATCTTTTCCAATCTCTCCTTGGGCGAATCCTTACCAGTTATACCAATTATATCTTCTTCACGTTGTCCATATTTCTTGACTAACGCCTCACGTAGTGGCTCTACGTCTTTCGATTGATTTACAAACACCAATATTCTCTTGATGAATCCCGCTTCAGTTCCATCCTTGTGAATCGCATACAACGCTTGCGCAAGGCATCTTGTTTTGGAGCCGTTGTATGGGGACAATTCTGCATCGATGATCTTCAAATGAATCAGTTTTGGAATCTTATGCAATGACGGAGTTACTACATTGATCAAGGAGTGTTCACCGGGGAACATCTTAGATAAAGTCCGATTGAATTCCTTGGGGATGGTAGCTGAGCAGAATACTAAGTCTCTACATTTAGGAATTTTCCTTATAACTGCAGAAGTGTCTAAAACCCATGAATTGTCCATCAAGGTATCTGCTTCATCAACAACACAGTGAGTTACTTGACTCAAGATCTTAAACGGATTACTTCCCATATTTTTCATATTAGACAACGAAAGCAATTTCAGAGGGGTAGTAACCAAGACGTCGACCCTTCCTGTCTTCACAGCATCAACGAGGTTGCGATGAGGTTCACCAGCACCCCATTTAACCACATTCAAGTTAAGTGAAGTTCTTTGTTCGTCTAATGACAAAAACTCTTTGTAGATAGGATCTTCAAGAATCTTCAGCTTGATTTTTTCCTTCTGTTCACCGTCAATTCTAATAGTAGCAGCTCTAGAAACTGTATCGTAAACTTGTTCAACCAATTCATGAGTTGGAAGTAAAATCAAGGACCGTATTATTGGCAGCAGCTTATAGTTAAAATATTCCTCTTTACTTCTGTTGAATAGTTCTAATTCCTCTTCTTTCAAATTGGAAAGTAATGGCGCAAGGTAGGACCAAGTCTTTCCTGAACCAGTTTCTGCAGCAATGGTGAAAACTTTCAACTTACTTTTTTCATTTTCAATTGCCAAGTCATTGAGAATCTTGATCGATTGGCTACCCATATCGTCTTCATTTTCATTATCCTCGGAATTTGACTTCCTATTATTGTTCCTTGAGCTAATATCTCTCTCGTCCTTCTTCTTCAAATTGGCTAGCCTTGGTTGTAGCAACTTCTTGATTGCTGCAACTTGCACCGGTGATGGCTTTAAGTTAAGCTCGGACTTATCCTGCATATACGTATTCTTCATATTGTAACCAAACTTGATTTCCTCTTTCATCGAGAGCCTGACGGTAGGGAAGATTCTTAATTCTTCAAAATCAGTAACCTTTTCGATGATTTTGGACGATGAGAGCTTCTCGTTGTTGGTTGGTGTTTTCAACCCTGAAAAATGGCCAAACAGGAAGGGCAAAGTGCTGCCTCCAGACTTAGTTCCTGCCCTGGTCTCACTCTTGGAACCACTAAGCTTTGACGCATACTTTGGTACTGTAGAAGATGCAGGTGCTTCCAATTTTTTCCCATTTTTGGTTCTTAAAATTGTCCCCCTGTTAGGAGTACGGCCTCTACCCTTCGAGTACGATCGTATTACTACCTTGAACATCCCTATATAAGCTAAATCAAACGATGCAAGTGGATGAAGAAAAGAAAAACTTTTCTGGTGGAGTGCAAAAGCGCTGAGCTGAAAATTTCCCGTAGGCTCAAAAAAAAAAAAAAAAAAAAAAAAAAAAAAAAACCAAAAAAAAAAAAAAAAAAAAAAAAAAAAAAAAAAAAAAGAAAACATTCGAAGAAGGAAAACAAACAATAGTGCTAAGCGTTTAGGCAGG